CTTCATATTTCCTGTATATAGCTGAGTCAAGGGTTTTTGGGGATGCAAACTATTTAGCTTGCAATTGACACGATCCTAGAAAGTCTATTCTAAGATCTACAGTTTTAAGAAACATTACCAGGCAGGGACGTGAAAAGTTAAGAAACCCTCTAAATATTAGTTTGTATTCTAGTTCCAAAAAACACAATAAAGCAGCCCAATCAATGTGATTAAAACTTGTGTACATGTGGACTAAACCATATTCTCTCTCATTAATGGTAACTGATAGTGTGTGCCTCTTTAGTTCCTCTGTTGTTATGATCATTTATTTATATGTTCTGCCCTGTAGGAGGGGGATCTGGCTTCGTTGGACGAGAACTTACTCGCCTGCTGAAAAACAAAGGTCATGAGGTCACAGTGATATCTCGCCAGCCTGGCCCTGGGAAAATAACATGGGTATGATCTGTAGTCAATTCAGAATTGTAGTCAAACAGTAGGGACCAATTTCATCTCTTATCGTGAGAAAAATCGTCTGTAGAATTGTTGTATTTATTTAATTGGCTTTATTGAAAATAGTTATAATGCATTATATTTTTTAAGCGCCTTTCAAGGCACACAATGTCGCCTAATTGCAGATCAATATTACTGTATCTACATCCGGAGTCATTCATACATTTATTTTCTTCTGTACATCTGCAGGGGGAGTTGGAGTCTGATGGCCTCCCACCATGCGAGGGTGCCGTCAACCTGGCTGGAGAGAATCTAATGAACCCTCTACGATGGTGAGCAATACAAAAAGAAGAAGCGACAACCACTACTAATACAACTACACTATTTCAGTAGCTAATACACTAAATGGTACAAAGCAGTGAATTTAGCCATATCCAATACATTTAGGAAGGCGTGTGGTACAGGTTCAAACCCCACTGCAGCCAGCATGTCGTTGTGTCCCTGGGCAAGACACTTCACCCCAAATTGCTTTGGATAAAAGCGTCTAACATGTAATGTAATTTAGGAAGCACTACGAGTGAGGGCTTATCACAAAGATTCAGAGCAGACTTCTTGGATATTTGTTGTAAATCTCTGCAACCGGGTTCTAAAATCTGTTAGAAAGATTTCCCAGAAGAGTGGAGGCTGTTATAGGCAAAAATAAAGAGGATAGCTTTAAAAAAAGTGGTTCATAAATCCATAGCTTTGATATCTGCATACTTTTGATCACAAAGGGTTTTGTCCTGCTTTGAATTTCCTGATAACGTTTTTTCGTCCTCGTGTATTGATTCACTAAACATAAGATGTAAATGGAAATTGTGATTGGGAAAATTCCATACAGAATAAGTTTGACTGTTGATACTGGATCTCAACCTGATCCGTTTTTATTTGTGGTCTCAGGTGGAATGAAAGCTATAAAAAGGATTTATTCTCCAGTCGTATTGACTCTACGAAATCTCTGGCTCAAGCCATTGCTGCTTCCCCCAATCCTCCTCACTCCTGGGTCGTGGTATCGGGAGTAGGTGAGTTTCTGCCTCATAACAAAACTGTATATTTAAGTATACTGTCATTAACATGTGTTGTTGTATATTTATAATGTCTCCTTTTGATCCATAGCTTGTTACAAGCCCAGTCTGACAGCTGAGTACACAGAAGAGAGTGAATGGACACCATTTGACATCCTCTCCAAACTGGTGAAGGAGTGGGAGGGCTCGGCTCTTCTCCCTGATAACGTGACAAACACCACCAAACAAGTCGTCATCAGGGCTGGTACGTAAAACAACCCCTGCATATTTCACTGAAGATCCAGTAGAAAACCTTCTTAAGTTTAATTCACATTAACAATATATTGAAGTGTCAGCAAACAGGCACATTTTTCAGGTTAACAAGACAAAAAAAAAAAAATTATAACCCAGGGAAACTAGTGAGTTCATATATCTGTGGATGTCGCTGTTGCAGTGGATGCTTTGTTTGATGTTGTTCTTCAAAATCAGATATTATATCATATGGATATTTGTGTACCTGCAGTCTTTCAAAAGTTCAGCTCAGTCTTATGGCCTGTGGGAATGTGTATGTTGTACATGTATGTATGAGATGCCTATACTGTCATCTGAAACATCCATCCCTCCTCCAGGGGCAGTTTTAGGCCGTGATGGTGGTGCCATGAAGCAGATGCTGCTCCCCTTTTGGCTCGGCCTGGGGGGCACCCTGGGGTCCGGACGGCAGCCGTTCCCCTGGATCCACGTCTCGGACCTGGCAGGACTCATCGCCCACGCTCTGGAGCCCCCTGCCGATCCCCCCTCGCCCTCACAACAAGTGTTCAACGGTGTGGCGCCCAATCTGAACACCAACCTGGAGTTCACTAAAGAGCTGGGCCGAGTGCTGAGGAGGCCCACCATCTTCCCTGTGCCTGCCTTCGTCATGAATACCTTAATGGGCTCTGAGAGGGCCGTGGTCCTCATGGAGGGCCAGAAAGTCATACCAAAGAGGACTCAAGAGGCCGGCTTTCAGTACAAGTTCCCAGATCTGACCTCAGCCCTGAAAGAGATCGTTGGGAGTTAACAGATGTTGAAGGAAAGGGCTGATGAAGAACTTTCTGTAAATGTGTGCTCATATTTAATGGATTACAAGATTTAAACAAATGGTGTCAGCTCAAATCAAGGATTCCTAGAAAATAAGACCAGTTAATAAATGTGATTTTTCCAGTTTGTACATATTAAGCATTAAAAAAAGATATCACTTACTCGGCACACAAATACGGGTGTGCATACATCACTACATTGCAAAAATGTAAGGTAACATTTTGAACTGTGGTCTTTACAATATACCACTTGTCTTTGTGTTTCCCATTCAGTGGTGTTTTTGAACTTCAGAATGATTTCAGTAAAGTGATAATTATCTGTGAGTTTCATTCTAAAATACTGAAGCGCTCAGAAGGGAAACCGTCAAAATGGCAGAATACTTGTTACAAGACATGGGTTCAGATTTGTTTAAGGTGTTGCACAATAAAGCAGTTTAAAGTATGTTGTGATTTCTTTATTAAAGTAGTCAGAGGTTGTCAAATGAGTCAGTCAGTGAGGAAACGCACATGTTCCGTACAACTAAAAGCTGATTTCTGAGTCTTTCTTCAACAATTTCTGAGTGTTTCCATTGTTACAAAAGTATAAAGTTTGAGTCTCTTTGTCGCTGAATCATCGCTCTGAATCACTCTCTGCGTCCTCATTGTCTCCCTGAAGCATCGGCAGTCGATCTCCCCAGTCGCTGCTCCGGGCGCAGCGGTACACGTCTCTGATGGACGGAAATAAAACAATTTTCAGTTCATTTGAGACGTACCATAAGTCAGAACTGTGTCGTCAATATTTGGTTGATTTGTGGTCTTGTTCCCTAAAACTTTGATCAGACAAAGTTCCTGACAAATGACCAATTTTAGATAATTATTTTATTTAGGAAAGGTTCTTGAGAAGCTGTTTGTGTTTGAGCAACATCTGAAAAGTTTGGCTTCTTTTCTTATTTAAAATTGATTAGTGATGGAATTACGGCTCTTTGAAGGGAGCCGGATCTTATGGCTCCGTTCCTTTCTGAGAGCCGTTCAAAAGGGACGTTTTTTTTAAGAGGGCGGGGCTAATAGGTTTATCTGCGAAATAATCACCAGGATAATTGACTGTATTGCCAGAATCTACTTTTACTCACAGAAAATGTATAACTTCCTACATCTCTCAGCCAGCCAAAGTACTACTCAAGCAGCATGCGTTATGCCATCATCTACGGCTAATGTGCATTCAGGAAAGCTAGTTCCTTTAAAGGCGAGTGGATTTATGGTCTCTCTTGAAAATGAGACCTTGTGTCTCAATGACAATTTACACCTGTATAAATAAAGGCTAAATAAAATAAAAATGGCAGGCAGTGAACCGACGATAAAAAGAACGGCTCTCACCAAGTAGGACTCGGTTCCCTTTGTTCGTACCAAAGAGCGGTTCAAAAGGATCGGATTGTTCACGAACGTAACATCACTAACTTCAGGTATTGGCCCGACTAAATCAAATTCAATCAATACCCGGCACTAGGCGACTAGTATAAGAAAAAAAAATTTTGTTTCTTTTGACGTTTTTCTGTACCTTAAATTTGATAATACCACCAATAATAAACACTGCACAAGTGTTTCATAGGCAGGGAAACCCCCGTTATTTGCTGCTGCCGTTAAAACTTCGGACTAATTGATCCCAAGCTTTGGCTCCCCATCAAAAGCTTGTATGCTGCTCCTATCGATAAGTTTTGACGTATGTGTGACTTTTACCTGCTCTGTTTCCGTGCCGTCACCACCAGGTGTTGAAGTTTTCCATCAGGGCAGCACATCCGACAGTGCACGTGTCTCGTTCTGCGCTTCACCGGAGAGATCAGCCTGCCCCAATCCACGCTTTCAGGCTCTGTGCCCCCCAGCTCTGTCCGAGCCAGAATCAGGTAGCTGAACTTCTCCGTCTGCCGCTCATTGCGCTGAAAAAAGGAATTCATTAAAGGTTACCTATTATGCAAAATCCACTTTTTCATGTCTCTTCTACATCAACATGTGTCCCCTCTGTGTAAAGAGATTCTGAAAGTCTCAGGAACAAAGATTCTCTCTCTTTTTGTCCTGATCCATTTCTATAAAAACCTGTCGAAACAAGCTGATCAGATTTTGGCCACTTTGTGATGTCATAACGATGTTTTGGCTTGTGTAACCATTAGCCAATCAGCAACCAAGGTAACCCCCCCCCCCCACCTTATCACCTGAATCTCCTTCTAGAGCACCATTGTGTTCTTTGTAACCAAATCTCTCTCAGAGGGGCGTGGGGAGGGGCTCCTTATTTTCATCTAAAGCAACAGACAGAGAATCAGCACTTTTGAAACGGGGCTGAAACAGAAGGGATTATGGGTAATGCTGCAATGATCTGTTTGGTGTTTGGAGCCAAACACTTCAGAGACATGTTTGTATATATCTGAGACCTGTAATATATTAATTAAAAAGTGGAATCCATATATGCGTCTCCTATCTCCTACTGAGGTGAAGAGTTTGATGTTACCCCGGGCATAGGCAGAGGTTGGTACATCTGATTGAAGTTGCAGGGTGTGGTGATCGCAGAGGCCAGTTTAGGACAGGTCCGCTCGTGAGGACACTAGAGAGACAAAACAAAAAGAGAGAAAAAACTGTAAAATGGTTGAGAGATGCCGTGATGTTGTAATCATCTGAGATTTGAGCGTACCGGAGCAAACACTGCTGCTGGTCTGATGTCATGGACAATCTTGTCTTGTTTCTGGAGATAAAGAACTGCAGGTCATCATATTGCTTTCATTAATTGCATCAAATCATTTACAGAGAAGTGCCAAACTAAATTCCTCTTGGAGATGTTGAAGTGTCATGTTGTAAACTGTGTTTGACTACCTTCAATAACGTGTCTCTGGCCTCCATAAGCATCTGATGGCCCTCTTTAGTCCCATTTTCCACCAGCACCTGCAAAATAAATGATGAAAAAAGCATAATCAAATGTTTTTATTTAAGATAATGTTTCTAGTTACCAGAATAGTTTTGAAGACAAGTTGCGATTACTAAATGTGGAAGGACAACAATAGTTCGCTTCATCTCAAGGTGAAGTCTTTATTTTAACGAACCAGGTAGGAGCTGGTCTTCCTCCACAGAGTTAACACCGTGTCCTCTCGCTCCTTCACATTCAGGAGCTCCGACAGAGTGAAGGCTGCCACCACCAAGTCAAATTGCACCTGGAGCAGAAACAACAACTGTCAGGGCTCCTTGTCCTTAAAGGATGTACAGTAATATAATTGACGCCGAAAAATAAACAAAAAACTAACTGTAACGGTTCCAACAATTCTTAAACATCAAATGTAAAGACTTTTAAATTGGAACGTTTACTATCCAGGCCCGATTGCCTCAAATTCCAAAATAATGAATACATGTCTGTCTTCTCATTTGACTTTAATCTCAATGTTTGCTTATATACAGCAAGAATCTGATTCGTTTGGATCTTGACATTTTGATAGTTCAAAAAGAAACCCTTAAACTGAACTTAACACAGACTGTGTTTTTCTGTTGCAAAAAACTAAAGTGTTTTACCTTAGGAGAGACAGGGAGGAACTGTCGGAAATAAACTTGTTTGATGTGAGGTTCCGCTCTTTCTTCATCACCTGCTCAACACGAAAAACACATGCTTAGGTTTTCTCATCAAGATAGACAGGAGCAAGGAAAAACAATTCAACGAAATATAGAACAACATTTACGAGGATCTGTAGAGGAGATGAGCCACAGGACCACCCACAATACAGATACATTGGGGAACACTTAAACATCTCAAGTGTGTTTGTTGTGTGTGTGTGTGTGTGTGTGTGTGTGTGTGTGTGTGTGTGTGTGTGTGTGTGTGTGTGTGTGTGTGTGTGTGTGTGTGTGTGTGTGTGTGCGTGCGTGCGTGCGTGCGTGCGTGCGTGCGTGCGTGCGTGCGTGTGTGT